TACAATTCTTTGCAGTCACACTTTTTTTTTATTCTCTTAATTGGGGGGGGTGAAGTCCAACTGGGTCCACTCGGCACGGTGGCCACTGAGGTCACACTTATTTTCTCCTATTATTAATCTTGATTATTTCAGACGCAGAGATTTTGAAATATGAAAGGTACTACAAGGAAGCTGTCTGAAATAGCAGTGACTCTTGCCAGCTCAGTGTATATTTCTGGTACAATTAATCTAGATATTGAGGCAAAGGAGATGCTGCCTCGCGAAATACCTAAGAGTATTTCACGCAGGTTGACTGTAGGGCACAATGGTTATCAGAACAGAGGCCCAGTGGCATATGAAAGATATTCTGCTTTGTGGGCTAAAAGAAACAGTTCGGAGAACACATCATACAATTCCAAAGTATTTGTTATATTCTCACTTTGAGGGAACTAAGAAAAATATCCTTAAAACTTGTGTAAAGAAACTACATTCTAACTATATTCGATGCTCAGAGTAATGTCGCGTAAGGGCCGCGCCACAGCTGAAGCAGTTAGTCGCTGGTTTCCCACCGTGGCGGTCCGGGTTCGATCTCGGCTCTGATGAAGTGGGATTTGTGGTGGACAAAGTGGCGCTGGGGCAGATTTTGTAGGAGTACTCCGGTTTCCCCCATCAATTGCTCCACAATTACCCTCACTTATCCTCTGGGGCTGGTAAAATAGGCCATAATTGGCCGCAGTACAAGGGACTTAGTTCCACCCCACTAGCAATAAAAAATGTTGTGTAATCAAGAATATCACAGTTGGTGTTGAAGAAGTTGCCAGACTTAATGCTGGTCATGTTGAACTCTTGAGTCACAGAAGATAAGTCTCCATGCAATGGGCTTATTATTACAAAATTTTGCTTGTTCACCAGCTACAGTGAATTAAAAGATAGTCTTCAGTACCTATACTCCTACTACTTGAGGGACGTTTTACCCCGAAAACAGTAGTATAACCAAAATGCATGTTCTAAACCAGTGCTTCTCAACCGCCGGCCCGCGGCCCCATAGTGGACCCTGGTATCATTTATACTGGGCCGCGAGAGGCTCTTCTGGAATTTGTCATTTTCATTTTCTAAGCATTTTTCGTGAATAAATATTTTATAGTGGAAATATTCTGAGGAGAATAATGTTTCTGTCGAGAAGCTCAGACACAGAACACCTAAATCTGCGTAGTAAATTTCAGTGACCAAGCCGCATATCTTTAAACATGGAAGTATTCATGAATGATCGGGAATTTTCAGACATCCAAATCTTTCAACAGTAGGGAAAGGCAATACCGATGTTTATGACCAGTCATAAAAATTACCTGCAAGCCGATTACAACAATGGGCGGCATATCCTGTTCTTAGACCTGAGCGAAATAATATCTGTGTTGCAAATGTCAGTGACCAATCAGCAAGGAAGTATAAAGAAAATATTTCCACTGAAATTGAAGATCAAGGCAGTCTGTATCCGGTTCTCAAATCTGGTGATACTGAATACTGTTTCTTCGCAAGTTCGCATTGCAGTGTTAAGTGCTTGTTTCGAAACCTGAGTGATATAAATTTTAATATGAATAAGAGACAGAGGACTTTGTTTAATTTCGGTGTTAAGAAATCTCGTATTGAAGATGTTTGTGACGCAACAAGTAGTGATTCATCCACCTCAAGCCTACATAGCGATCTCCAGGATGCACAAAAGGAAGGGAAAACCACCAGCACACAGAAGAAAAATTCTGCATCCATTCGTAAGTACATGGACAGCTACTTAAAATTTGGTTCCATACTATACCCTAACACTGACCAATTGCCACGACCTCAATGTGTCATTTGTGCTACTGTTCTGGGAAATGAAGCTATGAAGCCATCGCGACTTACCCGACATCTCAACACAAGAAATTCCGATCTAGTCAACAAACCCATTAAATTCAGAAAAATATTTACAAAGCTTCAACCACTGACACTTCACTTCTGACGGCATCCTATTTAATGTCACTGTAGGTAGCTAAATGTAAAAAACCATATTCCATTGGGGAAGAACTCATTAAGCCTTCTTTGATTGCTGCTTGTAATGAAGTATTCGGCCAGTCTTCGGCAAGTAAAATGAAAGACATCCCATTGTCGAATGATACAGTTGGTAGGCGGATATCTGATATGACAGAAGATACAGAAACTCAAGTCATTGAAAAAATTAAATAATCGAAATTATTTGCATTACAACTGGACGAATCTACAGATATTCAGAAAAGCAGCATTTTACTTACGTATGTACGACATATTGACCATGATGAGAGTGACATAAAGGAAGACATTTTAAGTGTTTCTGAATTACCCACGCACACTACCAGCAGAGAATTTTTCAAAGTTTTAAATGGTTTCATTGAAGAGAGAGATCTCGAATGGAAAAATTGCGTTGGAGTTTGCACTGACGGCGTTGCCTGTCTTACGGGTAGAAATTCAGGTTTGCTCACTAAAATTAAGGATATGGCGGGCAATAACTTAGTGTCAACGAATTGCTACATTCATAGGCAAAACCTGGCCTCCAAAAAAATGGTACCTGAGCTTACTGAAGTCCTGTCTCAATCTGTGAAGATAATTAATTATATAAAAAACAGTGCTTTAAATACAAGACTGTTAGAAACAGTGTGCGATGAAATGGGCTCTGATCATCAAAATCTTCTTTTCCATTCGGAAGTTCGTTGGTTGTCCCGCGGTAAAGTTCTCAAGAAGTTATATGAATTTGATTTGTTTCATTCTGGTCCGTCACAATAACAATTACAAATTATAAATCACTCCGTCCAATGTGACCTGTAAGTTTTTTACTACATGAAAACTTAACACCCTTACATGTTTCGGTCTCTATGAACCATCT